CAGCGCCGCCGCGCCCGAAACAAAAGCCAGTCTTCGCGACGTCCCTGCGCCACGCTGGCTGGATGGGCGTCCGCACATAATAATCCAGGCTATCCTTCTGATTACCGACGCTCGAGAAATCAAACTCTCTCCGCGCGTCCCCTCTCTCGCCGTCGCCAGTCGCCCGTGCTGTCCTCTGGTGGCGGTTCTGCGCACTCGCCGCACGGTGGCGCCGCCGACTCGGCGACGATCTTCGCGGGAAGCCAGACGCGCGTCGGCACGGCGACCGCACCGTCTCCATGGCGACGGGAGCCGATGTCGGCGTGGGACGAACCGCCGGCGGAACGACGCGCGGGGAAGGTTCGCGAAGTGACGAGCGAGGTTCGGAACACGTGTCAGGGGTGTTCGCGCACGTCGGTTCTGAATCACAAGTCTTGTAGAGATGTGTGGGGTTCAGCTGAAGCAGTAGCAGCAGGAGGAAGAGTAAGACGAGGATGGTTCGGCCTCCGACGTTCGATCGCGAACACTCGGAACACGCACGGAACCGTAGAGACGCGACAAGCATCAAGGTTCGCGAACCACTCGCCAACACGTTCCACAACGAACTTGCTGAGTTACCAACAACGCAAGTTACACACCCAAGAGTTGCACACAAGTTACTATAGTTACAGTAGAGTTGCACTAGTTTCGCACAAGTTACACTGCAGTGTCACGTGTGTGCCGTCGCTGTCTGTCACCGACGGACCGTCCACCATGGGGACACCAGACTCCAGATGGCCCTGTGTCACACGTGTTACGGTATGTCGCCACGGTTGCTGCTACCACGGTAACAGCGCTCCCAGCATCCGCGCGATCGTAAACACAGCCGCGCTCTCTGACGCAAACGCCACACTGTACGTACATCCGCAGTAAGTTGCCGTTTTTTCTCTCGCACGGCGTAGAAACGGAATTATACACACAATAACGCGTTATGCGCGCGAAATATCCATGCGTATCACAGTCCTGCATATATATATATATCCGCGTGTATCACAGCCGACGTCGATCACAGAAGGAAGCTGCCGACACGGCAGCATCAATTCGCATCGCCCGAATCATCTTCCGAAGCCACATCCGAGCGTAGCATCCTCTGCAGTTTCCACCAGACGACCGACCGAGAACAACTCCGAGTTTTGTCGCCCAATCTCCACGGCGACTAACGACCTCACTAAAGACTCCCGACTTTCCGCCAAACAAACTCAACTATCATAACTCTCCTCGGATGCTGCGTGTATGAGCGCGCACGCGTCCGACACAGTCAGCGATTCGTGTGCGTATGACGGTTGAGGCGGCGGCGGCGGCCGTGGTGTATGTGTGTGAGTGAGTGGGAGTGTATATCCGCGTGATGCAGACGTGGGGAGGAAGGCAGACGCACGGGCGGGCGGGCAGCTGTGTGCTCCTTCCTGCTATATATAGCAGGCTTCCACGCGCATGATGGCTCTGTTCTTTTTTCACGCGCGCGTGCGTGCGGCAGGAGGAGGAGGTGTTCTATTTCGGCTGCCGCCCCGCTTACAGTGCACTCCGGTTTCACACGGCAGGCACTTCAACCTCCTCTTACCCGCTCTTAACCTTCTCTGATCCCCTCCCCACCTCCTCGCTATCCTCCCCATCTTGTCTCATCCCTCTCCACCTTCTTTCAGCCCTCCCCACCTCATCTGACCCT